CCATCATAGCAGCCCGGACCGAGTGCTCAGACTGTAACTCTGAAAGGCTCCTCACACCTATGGATTCATAGCCTGCTAGTAGAGTCCGGGGCCCAATGGACTTCTGCGCACGGCAGAGAAACGAACGAAACTTGGTTCCCGCAGGAAAAGCTCCCTCAGCACTGGCAATGGTGTAAGAACGAGCCTCAGCCTTCTCCAACAACTCATTAACGACAGTAGGGGTCAACATGTCTAATTCACGAATGGGCTCGCTGGAATTACCCTCCAAATTCTGGAACAAATAGCTAGCAAACTGCTTCAAGCTGATCTGCCTCTTCCTTTTCGCTAGAGGAGAAGTCTGGACCAAGGAGGTATAATAGTGACAAGTAAGATCCCAGAGAGTGTCATACATATCGGGAGTATCTTTCTTCAACCACTCCAACTGCAGGTTCGAGGGAAAATACTCCTGATATGGAGGAAGGTGTTACTGTCAGGCATGTAGGTCTCTAGCAACGCCAAGAAATGGCGACAGCTGACCGGGATTCCGTACATGGTGGCTCGTATAGGTGCATATAATCCACTGCTCTTCAAATCCCTCTCCCAGCGCGCCAAGACGAAACTGGTCATGCGTGCCCACTACCCCTTGGCTAGTGAGGAAGCCCAACCATAGCATCTATAATCTGGTGGAGGTAACCTTCTCCCCAGAAGAGCCAGACGATTACCCACGGTAGGAGCAGCTGCTGACACCTCGCCTGGGGGTGCAGTGTCAAGGCCCATGATCCCTGGTCGAAGACCACGAATATCATGATACCCGCTAGAACCAGGAGTCTTGTGATGAGAGGCATATCCACACTCGACTCGCTCAGCATCATTAGTAAGGTGCCAGGACATCTGTCGCCCCACGGCTTTTCCCTTCAAATGAGTGAAAGAATATTGACGCGGAATGGAGGGAATGTACAAGACAGCCCCTTCGTCGAGAGTCAGCCAGTGTTCCTCGGTAAGGGTCAGCGTAGCAGGATCCTCGACGTGATCTCCGAACAGGAAACTCGGCTTCTTTAAAGCCTGAGTAGAGGAAGAATCCGCAGTAAAGGTGGCATCCGTGATAAGCTGGCGCAAACAATGACGCCCTCCTTCCCGTATCAAATGACAAGATTCGTCTGAGCGATCTCTGTCAAACCGAGGGAGTGGACTAATGGCCTGCCTGAGAGAAGCTGAAGAGAAGACCTCCCGGCTACAACCAGTATTGGCATGAGGAGGAAGGCTGCCCGCAGGAAACTCTACTGTAATAAAGTACAAGGGTGGAGTCAGAAAATCCATCTCATAAGAAGAATGATAAGCTCATTCACGGAATAATTGGAGAGATGATTTTGAGTGTCCTACACTGGAAGAACGGTATGCATCATCACGTAAATAACGTGGTAACATACACCGACCTATAAGGTGTAGGACGACACAAAATCGCCCCAATATACCAGAAGACTTGAATTGGCCAAGCAAGACAAGTCTGAAACCTTAACCCCCGCGAAGGAGGGTGTCGGTTCTTCCTTCATGACCCGCGAAGAGGTCAATCAGGGATACGGAAAATGTAAATTCTCACCCCCAAAGAAAGAGGTCACTGGAAAAGATGTCGCGGGAACCTCTTCCTCGCTGTGCTGCGAATGAGAACGACTCCTACGAGGTCGAGATCGGCGTGGAGACATTGAAAATCTGCAACGAAAAGCAGCAAGTCAGGCACAATCTAAAATATGAATACGCGAAATTTAAAAGGGAAATTAAGAACTTTAATTAAAATCCTGTGTATAAATAGGATTTTATAATTGAAGTCTAGTTAAACCTACAAATTTCGTGCATGCGAAACGATGATTGTCATTTTTCGCGGTGAATTTTGGTGAAATACCCAAAATACCCCTCGTGTTCAAGGCTAAATTCGGGTCAAGGACACGCTCGAGTTGGGTCATGGTCATCATATCTGATCATATAGCACCCCCTGATACCCCACAATTTTGGTTAATTTTACAAATAAGCCCTTTTGTAGAATTTAGCCAATTTTGCATATAGACCCCTTCACAAATTTCAATTTAACGTCCACATGCCCTTATCAAAACTTTGGTTATTGGGTTGTGGTCTAAACTTTTGGAATTTCAGCCCTAAATTTTAGTCCCATTTTGCATAAAAGTCCCCCAAATTTCAGCCCCATTGCAAATTTTGCATAAAACCCCCCAAAGCTTTGTACATCCACAACCCATCGTCAAAGAGCCTATCTTTTAACTCATGAGAACAAAAAGTTGTGATCTTTGCATATGAATTCATAGTGTATCCCCATTACAAGCATAAAGCTATAATCTTTTCAAAAAAGAGGAGAAAGTTTTGAGATTACCAAATCAAGAAGCTTTCCTTGAGGTTGAAGATGATGAAACCCTAGCTTGGAGGAGAGATCAATTTCGGCCAAGAGGGGAACAAAATTCCGAAAATTTTTAATGGGTTTTGACTCCTTGAAAGAGAGAAACAATGGAGTATGGATGAAAGGAAGGAGAAGGAGTTTGAGAGGGATTTTCTTTTGAAAATTTAAAAAAAGAAGGGGGAAAACAAAAGAGGCAATAAAGCCAAAACAAGAAAGAAAGCTAAAAAGGGAAACAAACGGGGGAAAACAAAAGAGGCAATAAAGCCAAAACAAGAAAGAAAGCTAAAAAGGGAAACAAACAAAAGAAGAAAAAAGGAAAAAAAGGGGGAGGGGTGTCTCGGCCAGGGTTGAGACACCCACGGGTGTCTCGGGTCTCGTTTTGTCCCAGTACGCCCATATATACGCCCTGTTAGGCCCGAATTCGCCCGTTTTCGTCGATTATTGGATGTCTGGATGAAAATCGACACCAATCAACATTCGATGCGCGGAACCCTAGGGTCGACGCCGGTCAATGCGTAACCCTAGGTCAACGCCAGTCAACGCGTTGCGACCAAAGTCAACGTTTGACGATCCAAAACCCTAGGGTCAACGCCGGTCAACGCGTAACCCTAGGTCAACGCCAGTCAACGCGTTGCGACCAAAGTCAACGTTTGACGATCCAAAACCCTAGGGTCAACGCCGGTCGACGCGTAACCCTAGGTCAACGCCGGTCGACGCGTAACCCTAGGTCAACGCCAGTCAACGTTTGACGATTCGAAACCCTAGGGTCAACGCGTTGCGACCAAAGTCAACGCTTGACGATTCGAAACCCTAGGGTCAACGCCGATCGACGCGTAACCCTAGGTCAACGCCAGTCAACGCGTTGCGACCAAAGTCAACGTTTGACGATTCGAAACCCTAGGGTCAACGCCGGTCGACGCGTAACCCTAGGTCAACGTCAGTCAACGCGTTGCTTTGGAGGGGGTATCTGTAGGCATCGAAAATTACCTATAGGACTCTACGAACGGTTCAGTGTTAAAGAGCGACGATGAACGTCACTATCCGATCCACAGGAGTTCGATTGACGTCGATGAACGATTGAAGTGAATCGACGAACTACGTGAGCTGATAGGATTTCGGAATAGCGAAGGTACGGGCCAATCGGGAACCCTGCGATGTTCACGAAAAGAACAATGACCTTCACGTCTCGATCACTCTACAGATAATCCAACCATCGGAGCGGATCGAACTCTTCGTCAAGCTTCTAACGCAGTTGGAATCATTTAAATCCGAGTTCGGACGAAGAATTTACGGCGAAAACAATCAAACATACGCAACGGAGCGTCTCAGGCTGAACTGGGACACCCGGGGTGTCTCGGGAAAGTCGGAACACCCCAGGGGTGTCTAGGCAAAGCCTAGACACCCCAGGGGTGTCTCGGCCAAGAATCACTCAAATCCGAGTTCGGACGAAGAATTTACGGCGAAAACAATCGAATGCACCTCAACGGACGTCTCAGGAATTCCAAAACACCCTAGGGTGTCTCGGAAATTCTGAAACACCCCAGGGGTGTCTAGGAAAAGCCTAGACACCCCAGGGGTGTCTAGGCTTTTCCTAGACACCCCAGGGGTGTCTAGGCGCCCCAGGTGCCCCCATTGCCTATAAATAACAACCTTAGGCCTCATTTTTTGGAGGAGCTGGATTTTTGGAGAGTTGGCGAAGCCCTGCTGCAGTGAAGAGTGGTCGAGCGCTTCAACAGAGGAGAGGTCTTCATCAGATTCTTCATCACCCGTGTCTGTTCCTTAGTATTACCCTTCGCCGGTAATCCTAAGAAGAGCAAATATCTCGTTTTAGCCGAGATAGGCGCTTCAAGCTTCTAGATCTCCTCGCGGATCGACGAAGCTCTGTCCGATTTTTCCGGAACAGATCTGAGTGCCAGGTAGTCCACGGATATCGACGTCCCCGTCACAGGCCAAAGACCCACACAAGCAAGAGACGATAAACGGATCTTGCGTTTATTTTCAAGAAAGTTGTAATTTTTATTTTTGTTATTTGAATTCATTTGTAAACGATTAAAGTTCTAATGAAATCAATGATGAAGGCAACTTTCAACGAAAACAGATAGCAGGGGCCATGTGGTGAAGATGACGATGCAAGCAGGTTTAACATCCACTGGTAAAAAACAAAGCATTCTAGACAGAATTTTCTGTCTAGAATAGCTAGATTTCTGTCTAAATTGATTATCCTAGACGGAGTTCCGTCTAGGATGTTAGTCTAGTAAATTTCTATCGAGAATGCATCGCTCTAGATGGAATTCCATCTAGAATAATAATCCTAGACAGAAATGCATCCTAGACGGAATTTTTATTCCGTCTAGAATAGTTCTAGATGGAAAAGACAACCGTCTAGGATAATCCTAGACGGAAATTCCATCTAGGATACATTCTAGACGGAAATTCCGTCTAGGATGTAGTAATTATTAAAAAATATATGTAATAAACAATATTTGCTCCTATATGACCACACTAATCCACTTGATTATCAACAATATCTACTTACAAACACCAATACAATTCTCCTCAACAATAATATAAATTGTAAAACTTTACAAAAAAAAGAGTATATTATTGAATGTCACAAAAATTAAAAGTACAAGTATTAGTGTTATTCTCCTAACAATAGAAAAAAGATACCATACAATTTAATGTTCACCAACATCGAAATAAAAAAAATCAGTACAATAACAAAAATTATAAATCATTACAAAAAATGAGTACAATTGCATGACTCCTCTGCATCTCCTTCTCGAAAATCTCTGCCACCAGTTGAAACTCTCTACGAGTTTGTCATATTCTCATTCTTCATTATCCAAGATGAAGCCTACATGAAAGTTACACTTTGCACCATATACTATATACATATCTTAAATTTTAAGTAAAGGAGAAGTTAACATATCACGATGCTAAACAACAATTTAATTGCACAACTTCAAACAATATGACCATGTAAGAAAGAATAAAGTTGGTGCATGCATGAAGATTAAATAAATGGATTTGGTTGATGATAAACTAGTAAGCACTTTCGCCAAGCAACTTCTCATAAGGAGAAAAATTTAACTTCACATAATAAAGTATAGATAGATACCTTAAAAGTTACTGTTTCCAAACTACAAGTGTATTATTCATAACTTCAAAATCCATAGATGTACCACTTAATAATCATGACTAAAGATAATTCCACAATAATCTTTCTATTATCACTATAATTGAATCTAATTTCTTTTCTAACAGCAGTATAATCAAATAAAAAATATTTGCTTTGCTAAAGAGAATGGAAGAGAGGTTTTCTGAAGAAAAATGAATTTGCTTTTCAGTTAAAATAGATTACCTAGCAATACAATTTAGTTAGACAGTTAGAGCTGTTGGAAACTCCTTCTAAAAACTGGAAAATGGAAATTAAGTTTCATGATCAAAATATGAATGATTTTTGGTCATTTTTGTTGTTGAACCCTTCTATAATTAATTCTAACGAAGTGAGAGTCCAATGTTAGAGAGGAAAAGGAAATGAAGGAAATGTTCCTAACCTATATGGATATCGAGCAGAATTCTACAGCTTCCTGGATAATGGCAAAACAAAGGGCATATATCAGACAACCTCTTACCAAGGGAATGAATTTCTAAGAAAAGCCAAGCAAAACAAACCTGAGCTAACCCAGTAAAAACTGTAGGTTCCAAACATTGATACAACTTTGATACGCATGATAATGTTTTCTCCAACGGAGGATACCAGGTTTTGAAAGTATCAGAGTTATCATCAACTTGTAGTTCAAAGAAAAATTAAACGCTTTTATGAGTGCAAGCATGATTCAAGAATTCAACAATCATAAAGGAGGCAGTCTTCAGAGAAGTGAAAAAGAGAGTTTCTGCGAAGTGAACTAATATGCAGGCACCGATACTGAACTTCCAGACAAAACTTTAGTGCTTCTCTGCACGCGCACACATGAAAACTGCACAACATAATGCATAATATAACCAAACATTGGGAGCATCACTCTTCCAATCTAAGAGGAAAGGTAAACCATTGGATCAAGTTACTGACTGCAGGGTAATCAAGATCTTCTTCAGAGGGACAGAAATTTGAAATCTGTTAAAAGAGAACATTATCTCTAAGAAAAAAAGTGGCTGACAAGTATAGAATTTTTTTAAGCAATAATGCTTACAAAGCATGCAATTACATTGTGTAACATGCATCCAAAAGTAAATCCTAGAGTGTTCGCAAGCCAAACAAATCAATACAAGTTTGCAACATCCTTATTTTCTGTATACTTCCTTCCCCTTCGTCCACATAAATGTTTAGTACCAATCAATATATCTCCACAATATCACAGCTCATTTATTAGTCAAAATTGCTAAAATGCATTTCCATCTATTTTTAGATTTGCTGATAATGGATGAACAAATCCATCTATAGTAAACATAACTTATTCCTCTTATGTTAAAACACACCACACTGTTGTGTATAAGAAAGAAAATTGCTAATGGAAAAGCTGTAGATATAGAAAGAATGGAACACAAACTAATAAGTGAAGCACAGACTAAAGAATTATACAGTGTTCCACTGAGGAATACCTGATCGCGAATGAGTGTGCGAGCATAATGTCAATCTCTCATGAATATCTGCTAGAATCCTTTGAAAGGTGGGTCTCAACCCTGCAAGTGACTCGCTATGTCTACCAAGCTGCTTCCCTAGAACTTCGATTTTCAAGATACCAGCAAGTTCACAAAGAGTATCAAGATTTGCTTCATATATCAGTTTAGGGTGTAATATGTCATACAAGTACGTGCATCTGCAAGTTTTTATAGCACATTAAACCAATGTTAATAATCATACAATATAATGGTCAGCACCATTGAAGTTTGTAAAGCTAGCGCCACCACCACCACCACCACCCCTCCAATGTTCTCCCCATCCTCATCCTCCCCAACCTCCTCCGTCACCACCACCAACCCTCCAATGTTCTCCCCCATCGGCCTCCACCTCCGACTCCTCCTCTATAGCATGTGTCGTTGCCTCAAGCGCTGGCAACCCAAGACCAAAATCACCATCATCAACAACCCCAAGCACCCGAGCTCACTGAAGACTAATTCCCACACCGACCTAGTTCAAACTCGGCCAGTTCGAATCGTGACATTCAACGCCGCAATGTTCTCGATGGCCCCTATGGTCGGTACCAAGGCCCCGAACGAGAGACCCACGAAGGGAATCCTGAAGCACAGCTCGTCGAAGAGGAGGGTATTGATAAACTTGTCGAAAGACAAAATCTCAGTGGAGAGGAGCAAGGGAAAGGGAGTCACGGTCAGCTGCGGCTCCAATGGCTATAGCTGGAGGTTTAGCGAAAGGAGCGTTCTTGATGTGCTGAAGGAGGCGGGGGCCGATGTGATCGCGCTACAGAACGTGAAGGTGGAGGAGGAGAGGGGGATGAGGCCACTGTCAGAGCTGGCGAAGGGGCTAGGGATGAGGTTCATGTTCACGGAGAGCTCGGTGCCGGAGTACGAGAACGCCATCCTGTCGAGGTGGGAGATCAAGGGGGTGGAAGGCTCACGTCTAGGAAAATTTCGAATTTGGGGCAAATTTTCAAAAACTAGGGCATGTTACACCCCGTTCTAATTTTGATCATTTGGAGCATGACTCGGCCGACAATGCAACCATACGGTCACATTCACACATCTGGATCATCTTATATACATATATATTACCAAAAGAACTACAACACAGAGCATGTAACTAAAATAACAAAGAAAATAGATAGATAAAGAAGGTCTCAAAAAAACAGAGTTCTCTTACACATCCACAATTATCCAAGTAGGAAAGAGGAAAATGCATCATAGTCTGGAGAACCATAGGTGATTATAGGGAAGTCTAAAAAAATTGAAGCTGAGAGAATGATAGGACAGAATGTGATCACCGTCGCTGGACCTGATCCTCAAAGTACTCTCGGTCCTGCTAAGAAAGAACGGTCTCCGAGTCTAGGGCATGCAAACCCCAGAGGAGTCAGAAAACTCCCAGGAAGCATGTAAAATGAAGAAATTGTGTATGTGCAAGTGCATGTGGCAAGTATGAAGATAATATAGAAACTTAATTAAAGATGACAAAGGAAATTGCTGGCCCAGCCCAATAGGGACAGCACACCCCCCACTTGTAGATATTAAACAAGGTCTACCACAAGCACATATCTTATGACATGTACTAAAAAGAGTTAAGATTTAGAAACCCACAACACGAGATGAGTATGTCGAGGGAATAATCCAAACAAGGAAACCCTCGTGTATACCATATATCTCAAATTATAAATCGCTAAATATCAACTCCCAAAATCCTATAAACAAGCAATAAAAAAATATATATATACATCACCAACACCTCATTTAGGACATGTCATGCATGCCAAATCTATCATAAAACATATAAGCACATTATTCTTATTTTACATGTTATTTGAATTGGAGAAGAATATTTTCATATATATAAATCGGTTCCCCGTAAACCGTCCCGGGAACACGGCTTCAAGTCAAGTATTGACCCTTTGGCCATTGTATATATAACTCAAGATATCAGGAATGCACATGTGCCTGTTTATATACATATTATATTCTCCGTCCAATTTCCCTTTATAAACACCTTGTTTGTCAGTTTAATTTAAGTGGCTGTGCATGAAATATTGTGCACTAACCACAGTGTTACCGTGGAATAACTTCGTAAAACTATAAAAAATAACAGTGACTTAGAACATGTCCAATCAAGATGGGTGTATCATCTAGTCGATGCTATAGTAGTAATAGCCAAGGAAAAACCTTATATCAGGATATCGATATCGAGAGCATAGCCACGCTATGAAAGCACACTTATAAATCATATTTTAGCAGGAGTCGTCTTCATGCACAATCAACCCTATTAAATGTCACTAGGTGATCAAACATAGCCTCTGGTGATCTATTAAGCATCAAGAGATCAACCAATCTCATCCTTCATCTTAACAAACATAAAACAACTAATTAACATAATTATTTAGTGTCAAAGCGGCCAACCGTTTTAATTTTTCAGCATAGAAATCTACAAAATAATTTTTTAGTAAAACTTTGTTTGTTACTGAACTAGTATTTAAAAGTTTGAAACTTTTGATTTGCTAGAATATCTAGGGAAAAGTATTTGAAGTGTTAGAAAACTAAACTTCATATTTTAATGTGAAGTGTTTTAAATAATCAATACGTCGGCTTTCTTTTTAGAACTTTATGAAGAAGCTTTGCAACTTAGGAAAATTTTTAGTTTAATTTGTCATGAGGTTTTCTATAAAAGTGTGCTTAATCATCTAGGCAAAGACTGAAAAAAACACTTTTGACAATTAAAGATATTGATATTGTTATATTTTACATAATAACCCATAAGTATAGGAAACAACTGAATCAACCAACCATCACAAACTATTCTTCTTTACAAAATTAATAACTTGAACAATCTAGCCATGCAATAATCTACCATGTACACTATCATAATACATAATATTTGATCAAATACAATTTATTTATATAAAAAAATTAACTTTCTAATTGACACTCGAAATTAAAGATCCAACAAGGAAGAATTTTAACGGTAAGACCAAAAAATATTCTACATAATCAAATCATGTGATCTCACGAACCATATATAATACTAGAAATTCTTCCTGTGTATTAGTTGTTCAACCCTCTTCTTAATAAACGAAATTAAAGATTTAATCAATAAGATGACAAGAGTATTACACAGGAGGGTTACCCATTTGGAAACAATACTGAGAATTATTATAATTAAGATTGTATAGATAATATTCTGCACATAACTATCGGGAACAAGAGTTCCACTCCCTAGAAAAAGGTTTAATCATCAAACAATTAGTTGATTAAAAGAAACAACCATAAGGAATCTAACAACCTAGCAAGAGAAACTAGGCGTGAATTTAGCCACTTAACTGGACATTTAACAAAAATCATTTCAATAGGATTTATGGTCAGAGGCTAAGATACACCTGGCGAAAATTATAAAGAACATGCTTCCAATTCATGTTCATGAGACACTGGAAGGAGGATCATGGGATCAATTCTTAGAACAATGGTTTAACACAATGAGCCCCGAGAAAATTTAGAATAGTAAAGAAATCAAAAGTTGTTAATGGAAATTTGACATGAAAAAGAAAAAAAATAAACACTTGCCGATTATGAAAAATAAGGTAATCATGTGAAAATAAAAAGAGTTCGAAGGATAAGAAATGCTTGCCGATTTGTCGAAAAAGACTCTGAATCCCAAATCCAAAACTCGTCCTTCTCCTTCTCTTGTTTTTTTTTTCGTTTTTTTTGTGCAGGTTGTGAGGCAGAAAGGTAGAGGAGAGAAAATAGGGTTTTTAAGAAAAAGTTGTGATTTTTTGAAAATCCCTAAATAAGGGTGTGTTTGGATTTCAATGGGGTTAAGGGAAGTTAAGGGAAACTAAGTAAGAGAATGGAAGAGAAGGGAAAGGAGTTCTCTTCCCCTTGGTTACACCCCAATTTGGGGGGTAACAAATTTTATACTATTAGGGGGTGAACCAATGGGAACTAGGATGAATAACTTCACCTCCTAAATGTTCCCAAACAAGGTGAATGGTTCCCCTAACTTCCCTTCACCCTTATTCCCCTCAATCCAAACAAGACCTAAGACTAAGTGAATTTAATTAGTGGTAAACGGGTAGTTGTAACAAAAAAAATAAGAGGATCCCACATTTTGATTTTAGAAGATCAAGTAGTTAGGTGGTTAGAGATTTTTTTTCTATGATGGGATTTTTTTTGTTAGAAACAAATCAGTTTAAGTGAATTTCCTGAAAACAAATTTTTTTATATAGTTAAACGTGGAGATAGTTTCCGTAACTAATTCCCTCAACTCTCGCACGTGAAAAAAAAGGGGAAGAGTGAGAGATGTATATTCATGGGCTTTCTTGGGTGGGGCTATGATAATTTTTTTTAAAATCCCTTAATCATGTGGGCCTCCAAATAATTGATTTGCACCTAAAAGAAAATTTTGATTATTACAGGGCAACTCAGCATTTTATTTTTCTTTGCGTGGGTCCCGCCTTCCTAGACGAAAATTTTGTCTAGGAAGATTGTACCCACTTTTTTTTTTACAAAAATAGTTAAAAAAATTCTTCTAGGAAGCATCTTAGATGAAAATTTTCGTATAGGATGATTCATCCTAGACAAAAATAATGTAGAATGATTTTCGTCGATATTATCGTCATCCTAGACGGAAAAATCTAGATGGAATATCGGAGACGGATGTTTTCTATCGATATTGTCGTCATCCTAGATGAAATTTTTTTTATCTACAATAACACGTCTAAGATGCTATGTTCTTTACTAATGATCCCAAAGAGGTTATGCAAACCCGTGGGCCCCAGCAGTTACTACGGAAAAGCAGGCTGCGGCAACAAACACACAGCCCTTCGCAATGGCTTTTTAATATAGTTACTGACGTAGACATGCGTCAAAGCAAGCAGCCTC